CACGGATACAGAAGGCTCGACTAGCTTTTGCCAACTTGCGTCATTTATGGCGTATGCGAGATATCCGTCTATCAACCAAAGGACGTGTTTACTGTGCAGTAGTTCGTTCCGTCCTACTTTATGGCAGTGAAACATGGCCGGTAAGAGTAGAGGATATCCGTAGGCTACTAGTATTTGATCATAGGTGTCTTCGAAACATTACTCGTATATCCTGGGACCATCGAGTAAGTAAAACAGTTGTTAGGAAACGGGTACTAGGTAAGGATGGCAAATCAATTGATGAAGTAGTGAAACTTCATCAGTTGAGATGGCTGGGACACGTGTTACGTATGCCCAACGACCGACTGCCTTGACGTGCTATGTTCAGTGGTATAGGAGTAGGTTGGAAGAAAGCTAGGGGCGGCCAAACCAAAACATGGCACAAGTCCATGAAGTCACTGACAAATGATTTATTTATTTGAACACATGAATATTGGTACAGGGGAGCGCCAATATATATGCGCCACACAAAACAATGAAAATTGGAGAGGAATACAAAGAAAGAAAAAAAAAGCTAAGGAGCGCAACAAAAAAAGAGAGGACAATAACGAAGAGATTGGTGTAAGGTAATGTGCTAGTAATCAGGGAACGCAAAGGTACAATCAGAAGAAATCTTTCAGGTAAGGGAGACACTACCACTTTTTATGAAGAAAGTAAAAGGTTACAGCAGGATCGCCACTGGCTTCTATTCTGAGCCATATCTGATAACCTCTCTAGCCACTGTGTAGCACCATCTCTCAGACCCCAACCAGGGAGTCGTGAAGAACCAACACACGCCAGTCCTTTGCAGGTTTCTTTCATACCACGACACCATGTCATGCACTGACCACCTCTCCGCTTCTTCCAACCAGTCCCAGAGTCGGCAAATAATGCACGACGTGGAATTCTCTGGGACGACATTCGGAGAACATGTCCAAGCCACCGAAGTCGGTGTTTCAAGATGGTGACACCAATTGAGTTATCATCTCTGTGCCCGAACACACGATGCCGAACCTCTGCATTACTGACATGGTGTTGCCACTGAATGTCAGCAATCCTTCGGAGACAGCGATGATCGAACACAGAGAGTCGTCTAACGTCCTCAACTCGGAGAGACCAGGTTTCACAAGCATAGAGCAAAACTGCTCTCACCGACGCGTTGTAGATCCGACCTTTTACAGCCAGACCAACATCACGAAGGCGCCATAGATGGGCCAGATTGGCATAAGCCGCTCTAGCTTTCACTATTCGTGCATTGATCTCATCACTCACACCCCCACCGGCACTTATACAGCCACCCAGATACACAAACTTCTCGACTACGTCTATCTGCTCACCATCCAGGGTGAGTACAGGATTGGAATCCTGCCAGTCTTGTAGAAGTACTTTGCACTTCGAAGGTGCAAAGCACATACCATACCTACGGACACTGATTGCCAACTGATTAAGTGCGGATTGCATGCCTTGGGCATTATCGCACAGTAAGACAATATCATCCGCATACTCAAGGTCGAGAAGTTTTTCTCCAGGCAACAGATCCACACCACCATTACTTACATTCATCAGAGCTGTTTCCAGAATGTTATCGATGGCAAAGTTGAAGAGGAATGGTGAGATTGGGCAACCCTGCCTAACCCCACTACTCGAATGGAACAATGGAGAAAGGTGGTTGTATGCCCTCACTCTGCCTGAGGTGTTTTTATATAGGGCTTTTAGGATGTTAATAAACTTCTCAGGCACACCCTTCTTCAATAGACAATCCCAGAGAACAGTCCTGTCCAACGAATCGAAGGCAGCCCTGATGTCAAGAAACACTACGATTGTTGGCCTTTGATAAGTATGGCGGTGTTCTAACATTTGGCGGAGGGTGAAGATATGATCAATACACCCTCGACCAGAACGAAACCCAGCCTGCTCCTCGCGAGTCAATCTTTCTGGAGTTTTGAACAACCTACGAAGAATGACGGAAGCCAACAGCTTGGACGCAATCGGAAGTAGACTTATCCCCCGATAGTTGTTACAGGAACGACGTGAACCCTTTTTAAAGATAGGGACAACTATCGACTCATTCCATGACGTTGGCACACTCTCTAGATCCCAAACCTTTGTAAACAACGTCGTCAATTCCTTAGTCAAAAAGTCACCACCATCTTTAAAAAGAGCCGGAGGTAAGTCATCTGGGCCAGGTGATTTGTAACGCTTCAAGAGTTGGAGTTCCTTGCGGACTTCCTCCTCGTTTTGTGGATCAGTCGTCACCGGCCATGGAGGGCAGGACAGTCTGACTGATGTTGCCGGAGCAGCAGGCCAGTTGAACTGCCCTTCGAAAAATTCTGCCCACCGTCCAAGACGTCGATGGATGTTAGTGATTGGCATCCCATCATCCTCGCAGATTGTTTCACTCACACCAGACTTCTTGCTGCCAGTGGCTCGGATGAGTTGGAAGAGCTTCCGGTAATTACCAGATGCAGCTGCTGCTTTCAGCTCATTAGCACACTTCGACCACCAGGCTTCTCGGTCCTTACGCAAGCTTTGCCCGATTTCCTTACATAACATCCTTCGTTTATGGTCAAACTCACGGTTACCCGGAGTAGACCGACGGGCTTCAATGAGTTGTAAGGAACCAGAAGAAACCCAGTGCTTAAAAGCGGGACGTTTCGCAAACCCACAACTGACTGTTCCCGCCATTTTCATGGCGTCATGCAATTGCAACCAATGCTCATCTATACTTTTCGGTGGAGTGGTAGCTAGCCTAGAGGCTAGCTCGGTTCGATACTTACTTGCAACAGAAGTTGCAACCAGCTTGCTAACATCAATCCGTTGATGGCGTTCACTTCGTTGTCCACTGAAAAGTAAGGCAAGATTGGCGCAGACCAAGGCATGGTCAGAGTCCAGATAGGTACTCCAAAAGGAGCGGCAGTCTTGTACACAACCACGCCAGCGGTAGCTGATCGCGATGTGATCAATCTGAGTCCAGGCTTGAGATGCAGAGGGAGGACGCCAGGTGGCACATCGGCGATGACTGTGCCGAAAGTTAGTGCTAGCCAGAAACAGGTTGTGGTCTGCGCAAAGTTGCAGTAGACGGTCCCCGTTATCTGACCTGCGACCAACGAGTCCCCATCGGCCACCTAAACGACTCTCTTCTGTGCCTAGACGCCCGACTTGAGCATTCAAGTCTCCGGCTAGTACTACTATCAGGTGTGGTCATAGCACTAAACATGCGGGCGGAACAAACACTGTTAGAGTGGTTCCCCGTTAACAGTCGTTTATGTGTTCGATCATCGCTGTCTCCGAAGGATTGCTGACATTCAGTGGCAACACCATGTCAGTAATGCAGAGGTTCGGCATCGTGTGTTCGGGCACAGAGATGATAACTCAATTGGTGTCACCATCTTGAAACACCGACTTCGGTGGCTTGGACATGTTCTCCGAATGTCGTCCCAGAGAATTCCACGTCGTGCATTATTTGCCGACTCTGGGACTGGTTGGAAGAAGCGGAGAGGTGGTCAGTGCATGACATGGTGTCGTGGTATGAAAGAAACCTGCAAAGGACTGGCGTGTGTTGGTTCTTCACGACTCCCTGGTTGGGGTCTGAGAGATGGTGCTACACAGTGGCTAGAGACGTTATCAGATATGGCTCAGAATAGAAGCCAGTGGCGATCCTGCTGTAACCTTTTACTTTCTTCATAAAAAGTGGTAGTGTCTCCCTTACCTGAAAGATTTCTTCTGATTGTACCTTTGCGTTCCCTGATTACTAGCACATTACCTTACACCAATCTCTTCGTTATTGTCCTCTCTTTTTTTGTTGCGCTCCTTAGCTTTTTTTTTCTTTCTTTGTATTCCTCTCCAATTTTCATTGTTTTGTGTGGCGCATATATATTGGCGCTCCCCTGTACCAATATTCATGTGTCCAAATAAATAAATAAAACACCTGATAGTCCACGAGAACTGACCGTCGGGTCACTAAATACACGGAGGGTGTATCTCGGTGGCTCTCCGTTTTGCTGAGGTGAGGCCAAGTGGATGACCGCACCGGAATCCTGTATGTGTGTTTCAGAGACACAGCACACATCAATTGTACGAGATTCTGGGGTTCTAGCCAGGTAAGCCTGTTGACCGATTTGACATAGAGTGCATACGTTGAAGGCTCCAATGTGTAGTTTGGAGCGAGGTTTCAGTAGACCTAGGACAGTGTTTTGAGCACTAGAATCGTTGGCTGTGGTGACACTTGAGGGCGAAGCCGAAAAAGGAAGTTAAGAGATGAAAGTCGATGTAGGAGTAATAATAGGAAGTGAAGAGGGAGGTTGATTATGAATACAGTGGTTTTGAGTGCTGTTAGAGGTATGAGGGCGGTTATCGCTTCCCGGTTGCCCACACTGTGGAAGGGTTGTTCTGGAGGTACCTGAAAGGAAATTGGACTAGAGGTGGTCTTAGTGACCTGAGAGCGTGACCACAGTGCTTAAGGGACAACTGCTTGAGGTCGGTCACACACGACCTTTTTATGGGTGATTTTTGTGTTAGGTTCGTACTTGTTGAGACCTGACCGCCGGAGACGGATATCCGTGGGATAAGGCGAGGTGTGCATTTTTAGGGTCGGCCTTTTCTAACCCCACCCCTCCTTGTGGTAAGGCAGCATCGCTGTCATGCTGGTTGTCTGAAGAAAACACCTTACTGCTGTCACACCTCTGTACAGTCAGCAGTACGACTTCGCCTTCGGACCTTGGGTTTGTTGCTTTTAGTCTTACCGCTCTTCAACCGACCTGTCTGATATTGTAGGACCTTGAGGAACGGTTGTTCCAGACAGTATAGCTCGGTTGCTTCATCACGATAGGCAAGCCCGATCACCACGTCAAGGTAGCAACAACGGTCGGGTTTTGGTTCAATGGACTGATTCATTTTTATGTGGGGTAATTTTTCAGTGTATTTATATATGAGTGTTTATTTTGTTGTTGTAATAACTCCATCATTTACCTATGTTGTTTTAGACTCCAGTTATGTTCAATTGATCACTAGAACTGAATGTTAACTTCGTTTGTTGCTTTTCGAGTCATAAATGAATCAATCTCGTTCTGTTCTTAGACAGCTAAAACATTTTTCGTGTGTACGTTATCTAGCGTAAGAAATGAAATATTCGAAATTCGGGTTTTAAATTTAGAATAGGTCTCTCTGATAATGGAAGTTTTGTCTTCTCACAGAAAAGTGTCGGTGCTGATGTTGATATGGTTAACTATAATACACCTGGAATTTATTTTGCAGCTTACAATCCAGAAGGATTTATTTTAAACACAGGTGTGAAGGTGATTGGACCATGCGCTGCTTTTCCGCGGTTCGCTCTTAGTTGGAAGGTATGTTGTTTAGTTAGCTCGGTTATAGATAATGTGAACTTTTTATTTAAGGTGAAAGATGCTTTGGATATTTCTGAGGAGTCTCTATCTTTGCTTTTCATGCTGGAGCCTCCACTTGGTATGTTGATGGTTGTGCTGTGTTGCTGAATGATTAACGATTATTTCTACAGAGGTTCTTATCATTGGTAAGGGAGAAACAAAAAGTCCAGTTGACTACCAACGAATACTAAATATATGCTGGAAACATCGTCTGCCTGTGGAAGTGATGTCAACAGTTAGTGTTCATTTTTTTCTACTTTTGTAGTTTATCAGTTCTTCTAATGTTCTTGAACTTCTTAAGTCTGCTTAGGTATTTTCTAAAATTATAGTCAGATAATATTGGTTCTAGCTAAATCCACCCCAGTCCTTACCGTAATGCACATGGTTATTAATAACTATATCAAGACAAAACCCTACGGCTGTTTTTAAGCCATTCAGTCAGTCATTTAGTCGCAACTTAGAACCTGGCACGTATGTACATCGGTCCGAGTTGCCATACCCTATCGAACAGAGATGAAATTGTCAGACTGAGTCCCAGAATGGAAGAGGTAGTAACAGTATGAGTGGCGATAGAAAAGATTAGGCATCGAAAATACGATTCGAGAAGAAAATATGAATTAGTAAAATAGAAAAGAGTTACAAGAAATTCAGAAGTTCAGAACTTCAGAGAAGACGAAGAATGGACGCACATGCACCATCGCAAATGATTTCGAACCATGTTAATCTGTCTTTAATCACTGTTCGCGATAATCACGCGGACACAAACCAGATAGTCTACACCTGTTAACACGGCACAGTCCGATTGTCGCTGACTTCATGGACTGGTGCCATATTTTAGTTTACTTGCCCCTTTCGTTCTTCCAGCCTACTTTTGCACCTAGCTACCCTTCGAGGTAGGAAGTGGTTGGGCATTAATAACACGTTTTATCCGCCTCAGTTGATGAAGATGGCCATTCCTAATGGCCAGGTTTCGTACTCATAAAGTAAAATGGAGCGTACTTCTGGGTGTCAAACTCATCCTCTGGCTGGGAGATGCAAGGCAATGGTGAAGCAATAGCTTTCATCGTTGCTTAAGTTGATCAGAAGACTACACTTTATCAGCGTCTTCACTAAGCAAGACTATATCATGTGCATATGCTAAGTTAAGAAGTGGAAGAACAAGCTCTGAAAAGTGAGATGACGAAAGCGTTATTTTTAAAAGTATATCTGTGACGAAGTTAACTGGAAATAAGAGTGGCGGACAACCCTGACTAACACCAATTGAAGTAATAAATTGTGATAGCAGTACTGTGTGATCTCTGACCCAACCAGTACTGTTTGAGTAGAGAGACTTCAAGGTAGACTTGCTTCTTTGGCAAGCCTTTAAATGGTATACATTGCCGCAGAGCTTCACAACCAACAGAGTTGAACACCGCACTAAGGTCAAGAAGTAGAACTATAGTCGGGCGTCGAAAAGTATGTGTATGTTTCTGAATCTGCCGAGGGGTGAGTATTTGGTATGTGTATTCACGTTCAGATCTGAAACCAACTCGGTTTTCTCGGGTTTGATCTTTGTAGGTTTTAGTTGGGCATGAAACTATTATTGTGACTAGTATTTTAGATATGATATTCATTAAACCGATGCTTCTGTGATTGCTACGAGAGGAATTTCACTCTTTCTGACAAACTCGGACGATCAGCGATCGAGACCAGTCAGATTAGATTTCGTTAAACTCCCGAATCCTAACTAAGACCTCAGTCAATCTAAGTGCTAAAACTGAATCACCATCTTTAAAAGTCTCAGGGGTTAGTCCATCAGGCCCTACTGCTCTTTCATTTTAGATTATTTATATCCTTTTCAACGTCTCTCAGAGCTGAAGGACTTAAATCACTGTGATTCAAGTTGCTTGGAGACAGTGGGTTACTGAAATGTGGCTGTTAACAAGTTGAACTGTTGTCTAGTGTTCTGCCTATAGGTCCAATCTCCTAGATTCAGTGAATAATATGCCGGTGTTTTTCCGAGATAGCCTCACGAACCTCTGGGTTTTTAATACTCGTTTCCTTGATAACTCCGAATAGTTGTCTACTGTAACCTATCACCACTTCCTTTTCCATCTTTTCTACTTTCGCTACTGTTGTAATTTCTCTTATCACGACCCAGCTTCTCTTATTGCTTAGTATTCTTCGACACCACCTCACTCGATAAGTCACTAAATCAGAACACTATTAAAGGGGAACGTTATTATGTTCCAAATAAAGGGGTTGAATGAAAGTAGGAATCTCCCTAAAATCTCTTCTGTAGTCGACTTTTTGACCCTCAATGCAAGTGGACCCTCATACTAGATCCAACGATTTCGCTCAAAAAGAAGGTATTAGAGAGATTATTACTTCCACTCAACCCTTTTATTTAGACCGTAATAACTTTCCTCTTTAATCGTGTTCTGATATACGTACGTACGAAGTTCTACGTTGTTACTGACTGACTGACTGACTGATTCGGGGACTTGTCGAGTGAAGCAGTGTCAAAGAATACTAAGCAATAAGAGAAGCTGGGTTGTAGTAGGAGAGATTATAACAGTAGCAATCAGGAAAAAACGAAAACTTAACAGCTAAACACCACTATTCGTGATCATGGAGTAGACTTCTTATCAATCTACGTCTCTCATGATTTTCGGAGTCATACGGGATGAGTTTCCCTATATTTATCAGTTCAGTAGATGCCACTGGAATCCACTGATTTATATTAACATTTTGGTTTTATTTACTGGTAAATATCATGGCTGTTTTTACAGCTTTTTGGATATCATGCCAAGGAATCTGTCGGTGGATATCACTTTCATGGTTGACTGACTTCTCTAATTGTTTCTGAAATGCATTTTTTATTTTTCCATCAAGTCGATCTGTTATGGTTTTCTTACTGTGGCTTTTCTACGTGCAGTAAGATGCAGACAAATGTGTTCTCGAATTAGAGCATGATTTGAGTCTAAACGTGTGCTTCAGAATGAACCACAGTCTTTCGAGCCTCTTGAACGATGACTGATGGTAATATAATCCTCTTGAGTAGTTCAGCTGGCCTTCAGCTACTCTACAGCTACCCACCATTCCCAAACACCCTGAATGGGACATTGAATTAGGTCCCCCGACCATAGCTGAAGTTTAAAAGGCTATAGCTAATCTGAAACGAGGAAGACCAGCTGGTCCAGATGGATTGGATCCAGAGGTCTTTAAGTATGGTAGTACAATTTTAGCGATTAGGTTGACTAATATTTTAGCTAAGATCTGGGAGTTAGACGTTATTCCATCTGACTGGTCGCAATCACTGATTGTCCCAATACATAAGAGAGGGTCAAAATCATCCTGTGACAACCATAGAGGGATTAGTTTGACTAATATAGTATCTAAAATACTAGCCTCAATAATTATCAGACGCCTAACTAAGACTCGTGAACTGCAAACACGAGAGAATCAAGCTGGCTTCAGACCTGGTCGTGACTGCATCGACCACATATTCACCATTCGTCAGATTCTAGAACATAGGCATACTTATCGGCGTCCGACAATGGTGGTCTTTCTTGACTTAAAAGCAGCATTTGACTCGGTAGACCGCGAGATTCTGTGGCAGTGTCTGTCATTGAAAGGCGTACCACAGAAGTACATCCGCATTTCACCAATCCAACTAAGGTTAAAGGACAGAAAGTATGAACAATAAAATATATTATTCAGTGGTTTAAAGCAACGCTTGTATACAAAATATTATCGGTAAAATAGGTTCATGGTCTGCAATTATAGATCCGTAATTATTGTCACAGTAAATCAATTATGGAAGTACTGCACAACTGTTCTGGTTAAAGTAGTCAGTGTTATAATTTTATAGTGTTGGATTCTAGATCAACTGAGTTATATGCGCTAACAAATTGCATCATTAATAAAGTTAAAGGAGCCATAAAGAAAAAAGCTTATCGAAAACTGTTGTGTACTATAATACCCTTTGTCTTTTTACTAGTTTATGAGTTTTATCAAGTTGCAAAATAACTCATTAATGAAAGGGAGGTATAAATCAATGACTTGCACACTTTTAGATTATAGTTATTAAGCTTATCGCTTTGATGTACCTCTAACGCTATCTACTAATTCTGTAATCCATACTGTTTTTATTAATGGCTTTAAGACCTGATCATAGTGGTCAGGCTTGCTTATCATGATGACTGAATATCTCATATTTAGTCTGTTGATTTTTAACCCGATAGTTTCAGCAAACGTTTCTCAGTTTTTCCCATTCTTACAGGCTCTCCTTTGGATTTTCATTTGATGTTTGGTAGTGAACAGATTAAGTGAATTTGAGAGTGGTTAATTGATACTTAAATGGTTATTGGGAAGTGAATTTCAGGTATTTTCAAAATATGTGGGTCTTCATATTTATATAGTCTTATAAGTTATGTCATCAGCAGACAGTTTTTCCATATTTTATAACGTCCGAATATTTTCATTATCAACCTCAATATGTTAAAACTAATACCTAAAACAGAATGATACTTCAACGTTTGGTAACTAATTGTGAACGGTTTAAGTTCTAGTTTACATTTATTGGATAAAACTTTATGAGGACACAAGTCAAAATTTTATATCACACTTTCTTCCACAGTACTCACTTATATTCCTTATGTATACCATACTGGAGAAACAAGTGTTTTATTTTATCACCTAGCACTTCCTTCGGTTCCTATCATTTTACGTTTGTGAATATTTTTGTCTGACTCATAACTAACCCCTGTTGTTTTCTTCTAATCCTGACTACTATTCGGATAGCTTGTGGTTGTACAAAACGATATGAATACAGAAGTGTGTGGTTTTCGTAGTTCCATACGGTTCCATTAGATAAAGCACACATCAGTAACATTTGTTATATTTTGCGAATAATTCTATATCAATATATTAAGTTACAAAGGACAACAGGACATTTAATGATGACTTCTTATATTTTTGAATTCTTTTTCAGCATCATGCTATAGGAACATTTAACTTTCTGAATTCAGAAAGACGATATGTAGCTGCAGCTGTCATTCCTCCTCGTCGTCTTGATGTATATGATGAAGCTGATAAAAGAGCCACGCATCTACTATTGGAAAGAGAGAGTCAACAATCAGACGAAATACCTCTACTGAGTCCAACCAGCACTAAGTTGTTGGAATCCAGTGATTTTAAAGGAGATATTATTGTTTCACGTTCACCTTTGATAAGTGGTAATACACCATCCTCCACGTCATTGCCTTCTGGAAGCGAAGAAAAAACATGAACTTAGCACTTTAATGTTTGTATATATGTGATTAGACATTAACACGTGTTTTTACCCTGTTGTTTCACTATTGTGCATAATAAACGCCTAGATAGCATAACTCTGTTCTTAACGTTGTATGAGCAAATAATTATCTTTTTTGTTTCTTTACGTTAAGATAGTTTTTTTAGAAATAAAAAACTCGTTTAAGGAGATACTGAGATAAATTTTTCTGGTGACTATTTCACAGTTTTAGACCCCATCAAACAAAGTTAAAAATGCATACTTCTTTTTCACTTAGATCAATAGCCTAGGGATATTAATTCCACTTATTATGTTATATGTTGAAACTTATCCCATTTACCTCGAATCAAGCACCTGGATCTATATCAGTGGTCTGTACGCAATGAGTGTAAAGCAGAATCCAGGATAAAAGCCCATGTAGTTTTTCATTGTCGAGTTTTGGAGATTGTTGAATGTCATTGAAGTTGTTGAAATAACCCCTACTTCATTCACGTCACTTTTTGGGTATTGAGTAGACGTGAGTTTACCTGCAGTAGTTTTTCAGAGCAATAAAATAAATAGAAACCTTCAACTATTCAACAGTCCCCATGTAGTTAAAAATATATAACATTCATAATAACAAGGAATATATATCATAGGTTCTGACTTAAGAAGTCATAAAAGTCAGGAATGAACGAGAATTGCAGTCACAACATGAGATAACGGTTTTAAGGTGTCATAAGTCACTTGACGTGTAAATTTATTGAGCAATGGATTTTAATCATAAATGGAAAGGAACGTGTTTACCACAAAAGCTGAATTTGATGAGTTTCATTCCAGGAGGTGTAGCTTTTACAATGCTAAAGATTTCATGGTAAAATGAAGCAGAACTTCCATGTTTACCGTTACTCGAGTGTCTTCAAATGATTGATTGTTGGATAGCAACCACCAAGTTGTCTTTCTAATACCACCAGTTTTGCATCAATATTTTAATATAGATAAGCTGATCATTAATTCAGTGTGTGCACCAGACTGTTTGACAGGGACAGATGACGAGCCATATATTTGACGAAAGATATCTGAATCACTAAATAGAATTGTTTGGAAGACAGTGTATTTGATAACGGTTATTAAACATATTACTAGTGATAAACTCAGGTAGTTTTGTTGCTCGTGTGGGTAAGTTGAATCTCCACATAAAGCAATTATTCTTTCAAGACGTTGCATAGAAAAAATTGTTCATTTTGTCAAAAATAGGCCGTAAGAGTATTTTTGTATTTTCTTCTTTGTAATTGTTAACTAGTAATCATCACTTCGTCATAAGTACTTTAATTGCTGTGATAGTTGAATAGTTTTAAACACATTGAACTCCTTCATCACTTCATTCCATAGGACTTTATTTTAGTCCACTTATTTTGCAAATACTATATCGCACCTTTAGTTGATTTGTCGTTGTTGGTTACTATGTATGCATGACAGACTCTTGCATAATCATAGGAACGGGGGATGTTCTTGTTGTGTACTTCGTTTTTTATTAATCTCAACATATTCATAGTTTTATATAGACTGATTGCTTAAATGACATGATTGTGTCTAGAAGAAACAGAAACTATATTTTACTACTTTATAAACAAATAGGGGGATGGTTTTATCTACACCTTTTAACATCCACTTCTATTTCACACTGAAAACTTATTACTTCGCTGGTGTGTAATTTTTTTGTGCTCATTTATCAGGAAGTTTACCTTCTATTAGCTTTTAAATATCGTTCATACAGTAAATGTCTTAACCTGTATTTCTTTAACTTGGTTTGTTTATCATATTAGGGTTTCTGCGATTCACTAAATGACACATAGTGTATTGGAGCACGTACTTAAAAGAGAAGTGAGCTATTGTTTGGTCGCACAATTTCGTGGATTGGTTGAGGTCAGACATTAACACCATTAGATGCCGACTCAGTGGTAGTAGGTTAGCGTTCGCGCGCGAGACCGAAGGCCCTGGGGTCGAGTCCCACGGGCGGGATCGTGGATGCGCACTGCTGAGGAGCCCCACAATGAGATGAAACGACCGTTCACTGCTTCCAGGTTTTTAGTGGTGGTCTAACATCAATCATCGGTTCATGATCGTAATAAAAAACTGTTTAGAAATTGTTATAGCTTACTTTTATTTTAAGTACGTGTCGGTGATGTCCAGAAGAACAATTAGAGATTCACAGCCAACCTAGCCAACTCTGACATCACAACAACTCCAACATCCTCAACATCAGCTGCAAATATTCTCCATTCATATTAAGATACTTGGTGTGTGTATGTGGATTTTATCTCGCATAGTTACTATAGTGCTTGCTCATGTTTGTGACGTTTGAACGTAATTAATTTAGAATACCATTTCATTTCAGATATATTAGTATTCCAGGAAACAAATGGTGTATGTGTCTAACTTGAAACACTTCGTAGTATTGCATGACCATCTTCTATTGCCTACGTGAGATAAATGTCCCACACCCAACATGGCTGCACTTCACTAGTTACGATTTCTCACTAGAACTCTTGCAATCGCACTTGAGAGTTAGCCACCAGTGAGCACAGTGTTGGATATCAGCCAAGTGGTCTAGAGGTTGGCCGTTCGTCCCCGGGACGGAAGATCCTGGACTCGACCTCCCTCTTATAGCGTCGTGGACGTACACTGGTGAGTCCAATACTAAGAAAATGCCACCACTCAGTGCTTCCTGGTTTCCAATGATGGTCATATTAAAATCTTTTTGGACATACTGCTAATACTTTGCCAACTTCACCAATACCTTCTCGCCTTATCTGATTCCAAATTTCTATGGAAATGATAACATGATAATTGATCAGGTGTATAGTGTGATCAAACTGTAGATGTATTTTGTCTTGCGAATCCAAAGTTTTCCATAGTTTTGTTGTTAAGTTTATAATTTATAAAATTTTCTCACAAAAGATGCCTCCAATTTTGTTTTGAAATAAGGCGAAGAATCAATGAAAATGAAACAAAGTGACGACATAACCAGTTACACGATGAAAATTATATTTGTTTTTTTATTTTGTTGAGAATAAAATTTCTTATTTGTCCATACTTTATTTAATCATCATCTAGTTATTCAACAGGATTTGTAATGTCGTTTCATTACGACGGATTGCGTTTACTGGTTGTAATTTTCCGTCAAAATCTACTGGGAAAACCCATGAATGTCTGGCATCATTTTCAACTGAAATCACCAATGAACGTAAAGAGAATGATGCCAGTTCACCATGGGAATTAGACAAACCTAAACGTATTTGGCCCAATCAATTACCCGTTCCTATCGAAGTTGTCACACCACCTTTTTCAACAACTGTAGCGGCTACTTCGAAGGCGCCACTGATAAAAGACTTTTTCAGAGGCCAAGTCAATCTGGTACTTTCGATTGGTCCATGTATTATTATTATTATTGTTATTATTTTTACTACTATTATTACTGACAATTGCATTGGTGATATTTTTACACCTAATAGAATTCGCATAACGTACTATTTGAGTCATAGTCCAAAAGGTCCATTCGTTGTATCATTACTGTACGTCAAACTAATGCACTGAGTACGGAGATCATATAAACATCTTTAAACCCATTTGGACATTTCGATTCCATATTTATTACAAATGAACTCATTTCCACATGGTTGCATTGTAGAATTTTCTTCGACAGTATTGGCATAATTGTATCAAAATAAACCACTTAATACTTGTATTAGTTTCGACATTACATATATTGGCCCTCATCATTGTCCAGTACTTGAAATATCGACAATTGCTACCTTTGAAATTGGGACTTGTGTCTTGCAACGTTACATTTGTAGGTTTCATTGCCGGTTATTTCAAGTTTTAATTATTTCTCAAGTAACAACACACTTTGTAGAATAATTTATTATCTAACGATATTATGAAAGTGTGATTTTATATATTAGGAAAATGATGAATTTCCCTAATCATTCAGTCGTGCTCTGTTAATGACTGTTCAGGATTTCTACGCCAAAGACTAAAGATTAGTTTCGGTTCTCTAAAACTCTGTCAATTCGAAGGTTTGTGTGGAACATCGCTTTAATCGATTTAATGTTTTTCAAATTTTACTTTTTATTCAATACATTCCATCCATTTCAAGATATGTCCTTCGTAACTTTCTGCAATACAGAAATTCTTTAGATAATTAGAAAATAAATAAATAAAGTGGTTTTACTTGGCGATACTATGGTTTTAAAAAAAACTGAATTAGTCCCATATTTGAACGAAGTCAATTATATGAAACGCAACCTTAAGCGTGAACTTATAAGCAATATCTTATCCTAATAATTTGGAATTCTTAAACAATCCATTTGATTTAATATCCAAAGTGTTAGAAATCTGTTTCATGTACGCTTGTCATTAATGCTTTGTAAACACTAACCTTGAAAACTCCTACAGTCTAACCACCTTTCGGCAGTCAAATAAATGAGGCTCATATCAATCAATCATGAATTTTTTTATTATATGGTGACTGGTTCTCATCACAGTTTAATATCTACAGAAATACCATTAGGTATTTAAAAGTATATAACAATAATCTACTCCTATTCTGGATTTGTTTGGATGCATGTTACCATGATCCTTTTTAAATTCGGAATTAGAACATAGATGCATCAGTCAAGGTTTTGTACTGTTCATGTAATCACCACTAGGGAATATCTCTGGGAATCTGGAAACAATATTTCTCTACAGAATACAGGACTGCATTTCTTGTATCAGCAACTAATAAACTGATAATGACTTTCCTTTTATTTACAGGAATTGTTCGAATTCTTAGAATTACAAACTAGACGTGAAGTAGATGATTTAGACGCTATGCACAATCAAATCAAGAGATTCATACTCAAAAGTATGTGCTTTTTTCCCAGTGATTTGTTGTTTGATATTAAAGTTAAGTGGTGCAATCAATTTTTAAAGGTATGTTTTGACTAATATACATTATATCCTCCTGGATGAAAACAGATTCACTTGATATGTAGTCATAGGTCAGTCTGAGTCTTGCTGGCGTTGTAGATTTTCTAGTCGGGGTTCATGGCATTATTACAGTCAAAAGTTTAC